TTTATGATGTGAATGCAAGTTATCTCCAAATCTAACCAATTTTAAATTTGACAAAGGAGCTGAGTTATGAGTGATGAATAGGTAGGCTAGGTAGACCAACTCCAACGAGAAAATGTCTTGGACATAAAAAATTGAGTGTAATACCATCTAATAATTTAAAATTTTGGATCGAATGATAAAACACCGGATATTTGACATTAAGCTACAAGTTGTGTTTGAAGGAAACTGGAATATTCAAAACCTGTTGTGTGGCCTATTATTCTTTTTTATCAAAAAAATTCTTCATTTGAAAGGAAAACAAAGCAAAACAAAAAAAAAGAAAAGAACAGAAAAAGTGTGTATCTCATAAAAAGGGTTAATGGTCCACACTTTGTATGGTATCCAATTTAAAGTTTTCTCCTCTTTTCTTCTGAAAAAAAAGAAAAAAAAAAAAGAAAGAGAGAACTTTTAACATGTTCCTTTTGGACACACACAACTTCAGTATTATCATTGAGACTTTAGAATAATAAACATACCTTTTAATTTTAAAACAATACATTTTTTTTTTTTTCTTAATTGGTATTCACACATACTTATCTCTTTTGAGATTTGAGATTTGAATCCCTGATCTCTCTTTGAAAAGTAAGAGACTGATACTACTAAGCCACTGACCCGTTGATATTTTAAAACAATACATCAATTACATAATATGTTAAATGCACCCCACAATTTAGTCCATCATGTCTTAATACTATGATTTTTGTCAATTCTAATTTGTCCTTGCTTTTTTTATTGTATTGCTGCAAAATTTGTCAATTCAACGATTCACTTTTTTTTCTTTTGTTTGCAAAGATCATTAAATATAAATAATTTAATATTTGAGAGACTTTAGGCTCAACAACTTATTTTTCTGTAAAGAATGAACTAAAATATTATAATATAAATAAATAAATAAGTATTTGTGAGACTTCAGATTTAACAATTTTAATTATTTACAAAGTATGAAAAAGAACAATTTAATATAAATAATTATTTTTTTTACCCTTTAAAGTGAGAAAGAAAAATAAAATTTTCTTTTTAGTTAACAAGTTTCGTACCGATAACGTTTTATGAATATAAAATAATTATAGAGCAAGAAATATAAAACACAAGAGATGTGAAGGAACAAGAAGAGAAAGAAATTTTCTATTACTTTTTCTTATTTGATGTATTGAACTCAACACAATTCATACATATTTAGGAACAAATTTTTACTCTCACTTTAGTGCTCTTTTCCCTCACTTCTTATTCACTTTCCACGCTATCTCCATATTTTTCTTTCTTCGGACATCCATAAGCACATATAATTGGTGTACGAAGTTTAATATGTGGACCCTGCGTCAACTTTTACACCACTCGTGTTTTTTTCGCACCATATAAACGTGACATAGTAGTTGTCGCAGAATGGAACTCGTCAATTCAATGATAACAACCGCAAGTTTGGTTCATTATCAATAAATTCTGGCCCCACACAGAGAATCTTTCTCTCCCAATACTAATATAAAATATATAAGATAAAATTACACTAACCTCCTCCATAAAGGTCTTAATTACAAAAATTTCTAATATGCTTTTAAAAATAACACTCACCTCCTTTATCAATAATGATTTTGTAACATTGACCACCTGTCATAACGGTTCCAAATGGTGGTCGATCGATAAGATTTTGCGCTTGAACCAAAATAAGACATTTAGTGCATTTTATGGCATGTGAAATTACATAAATACCCTTATCTTAACAAAAATACCTTTCTCTCTTTTTACGTGACAAAGCAAAATCATAACAATTCTCTTTCTCTGTGTATATCTCTTTTGAAACAAAATAAAACACATTAGGAATATTTTTTTTGCAAATAACCCAATGAAAAACTTCAATTTATGTTTAACTTCTCTATTCTTGCTAGCTTTGATGATGGAATGTTATTGACTTCAACAATCAGCCACGGAATTAGTTTAGGACCAGTCGGGGCGGATGCCCCCACTGAATTATTTATTTATTTTTTAATTTATATTGTTACTTATAATTTAAATTAAAATTTCAAAAGTGCCTCCCCTCAATTCTTTAAAATGCCCCCTTCACATCTTTACCTCACTGATTTCTCCACTGAATTTTTTTAATTTATATTATTATCTAAAGTTTTAGTTAAAATTTCAAAAATGCCCCCACTTAATTTTTAAAATGGCCCACTTCACAAATTTTTTTTTTTTTTTTTTTTTTTCAAATTTGTGTACAATTTTTCTTTTCAAATTTGTGCACAATTTTTCTTTTATTCTTCGATGATGCCCCCTCAAAAAATTTCTGTCAACAGTTAAAGTACTTCTGCAAACATACCAAAAATCATCTAATAGGAGAGGTCAAGTTAAGTAATAAGAAGATGGACCACTACTTAGAGAGAAGTGATAGGTCTTCCGACCTCAATTGCTGACTCTTCTTTCGAATACAACGGGGTTGGATTACATTGGAACTCTTAAAAAAAAAAATCTCGTAAACATTTCTTTCTCTTTGACTCATTCCCAACCATGTTGTATTCAATAAAAGAGTCGGCAATCGAGATAGAAAGACCTATCACTTCTCTACTTCTAATAGTCTTATTAACTATCTATTAACTAACAAATAAGATGGACCACTACTCAAAACTTTTATAATTAGCTTAATATGTCCAAGTATAATCAAATAAATTTGGCGCTATAATATAAAAATCATAGAAATTAATATATTATTTCTTACTTACAAAATGATAAAAAAAAAAAAGAGAAAAAAAAGAAAGATTTTGGGTCATTACAACCACACAAAAATCATTTTAAATGCTTTTACTTTATTTTAACGAAAAGGATGTCGATTTTTTCTTTCAATGATAGACTTAATCACTTTGGCAAATTAAATAAGTAAATATCTCAAAATAAAATCAAAATTGATCCCATTTGTAATATCATTTTTTTTAAATTTATATTATTACCTATAGTTTTAATTAAAATTTCAAAAATGCCCCCCCCCCTTCTCAATTCTTTAAAATGCCCTTCACATCTTTACCTGATTTCTTCACTGAATTTTTTTAATTTATATTAATATCTAAAGTTTTAGTTAAAATTTCAAAAATACCCCTACTTAATTTTAAAAATGGCCCACTTCACAATTTTTTTTTTTTCATATTTGTCTACAATTTTTTTATGCTTGGGTATGGTGGGACAAAGATCAAGAGAGGCTTTGCAAGGGAAAGCCTAAAATTACTTCTCGGGACGATGCCCCCTTAAAAAAATTTCTGGGTCCGTACCAACGGGCCAGTGGCCTAGCGGTATTAGCCTCTTACTTTTCAAAGGAATGTCAGGGGTTTAAGTCTCAGAAGAGATACATGTGTGTGAGTACCAATTAGGAAAAAAAAAAAAAAAAAAAAAAAAATTTCTGGATATGTAGCTGTCAACCGTTAAAGTACCAAGAATCATCCAACAGGAGAGGTCAAGTTAAGTAACAAGAAGATGGACCACTACTGTGTTAACTATCAATTGGGTTACCTCTAATAGTCTTACTAACTATCTAGTAACTAACAAGAATATGGACCACTACTCAAAACTTTATAATTAGCTTAATATGTCCAAATATAATCAAATAAATTTGGTGCTATAATATAAAATCATAGAAATTAATATATTATTTCTTACTTACAAAATAAAAAAAAAAAGAAAAAAAAAGAAAAAGATTTTGGGTCATTACAACCACACAAAAATCATTTTAAATGCTTTTATTTTATTTTAACGAAAAGGATGTCGATTTTTTCTTTCAATGATAGACGTAATCACTTTGGCAAATTAAATAAGTAAATATCTCAAAATAAAATCAAAATTGATGGACCTTCTATAATTTTTTTTGTTTCCAATTGCATGATCCATGAAATTTCCATCCATTTGTAATGTCATTTTCCTTTCCTTTCTGCAAATGACTTTTGCTTCAAATAAAAATAATTTCCCCTCGTAAAGTATTAGGTCTCAAGATCGATTCTTACTCTGTGCAAACAATTTATTGGAAGAAGATGTGTGAGGAAAAAAAAAAATACAATTCCCAAAAAGTAGGATAGAAAGAAGTATCATATCCTCTCACACAATTACTACAAATTCATCTCAACATTCATCAATCCATTATCTAGTGTCTTCGCTGGCCTTTGTCCATGCTCAATTTCTTGTTAGGAATTGATTTTGATTCCATTTGTTACAATCCGTCAAACCTCATGTACTCAGTCGGACCCAGAAAATTAGGTGGGGACAATAATGATTTTTTTTTTTTAATAATTTCAGGAGGGCAATAGTAATATTATATGTGTATATAATACAAAAAACCAAATTAACAAGGGTAAATTATTTCCCTCGCACAATGTAAACAAAAAATATTATCTAGTGTCTTCGCTCAATTTCTTGTTAGGAATTGACTTTGATTCCATTTGTTACAATTCATCAAACCTCGTGTACTCAGTCTGACCCAAAAAATTAGGTGGGGACAATAATGATTTTTTTTTTTTATAATAATTTCAGGAGGGCAATAGTAATATTATATGTGTATATAATACAAAAAACCAAATTAACAAGGGTAAATTATTTCCCTCGCACAATGTAAACAAAAAATAAATTTTTTTGAATTTGTACTTTCTTTTTGACTTTTTTTTGGTCCAAAAAAAGGGTTTTGACACTATTTGTGTCAGTCAGTATTTTAAAAGCTTATTTATAGTTATTTTCCGACCCAAACAGACCCATAGATTTTTTAATTTTAAATAAAACAAAAATGCTTTGGACTCACATTTTTCTGACCCAAGCATTTTGGCGATCGCGGGCTGGATAGGGGATTCAGCGACTGATTTAACGATTCAATTTTTTGGCCCAAAATGTCAAGAGCCCATTGGAATTCATGGATCGCCAAAACTGAACTTGGGCTCGTGGGAATCCACGTGGTAGATTTAGATGATCCGTAAAATTTTCCCCGATTGTGGCGATGTGTAATGATTATTTTCCTCTCCTTTCCGCAAATGACTTCTCCTTCGAGTGAAATGAATTTCCGGAAAGTAGGGTAGAAAGAATTCTCATCTCCTCTCACACACACATTACTGCAAATGGTATATGATTATATATACACACAAATTCACCTGAATATTCATCGATCCGTTGAGGATCGAAGACAATAGGAAAAACCCATAAGCACCCCGAATCATTTTCTCTCTCTACATTCACCTATTGGATGATGTTGAAGGCGTGGAAATGGTATCAGAACTGTTTGGCTGTACATCCTGTCAAGACTCAGGTCATCAGCTCCGCTTTGATTTGGGGATTTGGTGATATTGCTGCCCAGACCATCACTCATTCCACAGCCAAACATCAACGAATTTCTGTAAGTACCCATCACCCAATTTCCCACGATAATACCTGTATATACATGTATATATGGAACTATCATTGTTGTATTTGATTCCTGTACAATTCATAGATTTCTAGTTATTATTCACCGTTTGGGCATATGGTATCGTTAATTTTATATCCATTTCTTTCTCTCTGTTCTTACATATACCTTATTGGCCATCTTTGATGTTCATAGCGTCTCTTATGGGTCTTTTGGATTTGGTTTGTTTAGTGCATTGTTTGGTTTATATAATACTTGGAATCTGCACCTCATTATGTTTGCTCTGACACTGGTAAGCATGGCGATGAGTGTCTGAAAATTCCATTTGTTTGATCATGAATGAATGTTTGTTTTTAGGGCTAATGTTCTGTTTAGTTATAACCACCCTCTAGTTATTGAGTACCCTTTTGTTGTATTAATTTGGACAACATGAATCCCATTTTTCTTTCTTGGGGGAGGAAGGGTGGGTTTTCTCAACAGGAATGTTTCCTAAAATATTATAATATTTGTTAAAAAATAGTAAAAAAATTCATGTGATATGAAGTACAGGTAGTCCTCTGGAAAGTGGAAAGTGACTGATTAGGGTGCTCAAGTTTGGCTCGGTTAGACTTTTCTACTTTTAGAAGCTTGAACCAAGTTCAATTAGTTCTTTGAACTCAGTTCTGCACAAATTGAGCTCTAGAAACTCGTTAGCTCCCTCATTTTGTTGATTTTTTGGATAGTGCAAGGATATATGCTACGTTTGGTGTGCAGGAATGGAATGGAATGCAAGTGGGAATGGAATGGGAATGGTCATTCTCATTCTATTGTTTGGTTGTAAATATGAAATGTGTAGGAATGGAATGATAATAACCATTCTAGTGTTTGGTTGGACCAATTTAAAATTTAGAATGGAATAAATTTCTAATTGAATTCTCCAAAATATCCCTCTTAGTAACAAATAAATTAAATTAAATTAATAAAATGACATTCTCTAATAATTTTTTAAAAATAAATGGTGGTAGTGGCGGTGGTGGATGGTGGAAAGCAATAGTAGTGTAGGTGGTGGTGTTGGAAGGCGGCGGCGGTGGCAATGGTGGAAATTGGTGGTAGCAATGGTGGCAGTAGTGTTGGTGGAAGGCGGTGGCAGCAGTGTGGTGGTTTTGGTGGAAGGAGATAGTGGTGTGACTATAGTGGTGGTGGAAGGCGGTGGTGGAAGGTGGTGGTGGTGGTGATGGAAGGTGGTAGTGGTGACGGTGGTGGTGGCGGTGGCGGAAGGTGGTGGCGAAAGGTGGTGGGCGATGGCGAAAGGTGGTGATGGTGGCGATGGCGGAAGGTGGTGGCAGTGGCGGTGGTGGAAGGTGGTGGCGGTGGTGGAAGACGGTGGAAGGTGGTGGTGGTGGCGGTCGTGGAAGGTGGTGGCGGTGATGGAAGGTGGTGGCAGAAGGTGGTGGGCGATGACGAAAGGTGGTGGCGGTGGCGGAAGGTGATGGTGGTGGCGATGGTGAAAGGTGGTGGTGGCGGTGGTGGGCGATGGCGAAAGGCGGTGGCGGAAAGCGGTGGCGGTGGCGGTGGCGATGGTGGAAGGTGGTGGTGGTGGTTGTGGATGGTGGTGGTGGTGGTGGTGGTGATGATGGAAGGTGGTAGAAGACGATGGTGGTGGTGGAAGGTGATAGCGGCGGCGTTGGTGGTTGTTGAAGGCGGTGGCGGCGGCGGTGGTGGAAGGCGGCGGTGGTGGTTATTGAAGGAGGTGGCGGTGAAAGGTGGCGGTGGTGGTGGTGGAAGGCGGCGGCGGCGGTGGTGGCATTGCTGAAAGGCGATGGCGGTGGTGGTGGTGGAAGGTGGTGGAAGGCAATAGCCGTGGTGGTAGTGGAAGGCGGTGGCCGTAGCGGTGGTGAAAGGCGGTGGCGGCGGTGGTGGTGGAAAGTGGTGGGCGGTGGTGAAAGTCGGTGGTGGTGGAAGGCAGTGGTAGTGGTAGACTGGTAGTGTTGGTGAAAGGCGGAGATGATTGTGGTGGAAGGTAATGGTGGTTTTTAGACTTGGAATATGAGGGTGTTTTGGGAAGTCCATTTTTTAAAATAAATTACTTGGGAATGGAATGGCCATTCCATATGTTTAGTTGTGGAATGAATTTTCATTCCAGTGGAATGAATTTTCACTTTAAGTTGCAAACCAAACAAAGGAATGGTTGGAATGGGCATTCCATTCCATTCCATTCCTGAACACCAAACGTAGCAATAGTTCTTTCCTTTGTGCAGTTGTTCCATGGGTGCACTCCCCTTTGAGAGCCTTTAATGAAACTTTGCTAATAATAAAAAATAAAAATAAAAAAGAAAAGAAAAAAGAAACTCAATTAGCTCAACAGTTGACAGTGAAGATGTGTTAATTATAGAAAACTTCAGATGTCAAAAGATTGCCAGTATTGGAATAATAGTTGATGGTTGGTAAAGGATTCTTTCTCATGATGTTGGAATTGTTAAAGTACTTTATGTTAGTGCACAATGCATGAGAGCATGCTTGGGATTGGAGATGATAGTTTTAGCAGAGATTGGGCTACTACTTGTTGAACTAGTTTGCTATCACCAACGGAGTACAATAACTAGCAAGTGTTGCAAATTTAGTACTGGTACTATTTGTTCTTTGAAAAATGAATAATGCAATGTGGATTGTTGTTACACAAGCCAGTTCCCATGTGGATGAGAAGGCCCTTAGTCATTCAGGTTTAATTTTTTTGTCATCATGAGATGTTTGAAAACAGCAAATTATTATTTTCTGATTAATTTTTTTCTTTGGTACTTCCTAATTGATTCTCTTAAGACAGGTAATCAAGGTTCTGTGCTGTATGCACGGTGACTTATGACAGTCTAATGATCGCAAAGATTGATCTGGAGCCAAACGTACTCTTTCTGTACAAAGTATTCCTAGTTTAAATCTATTATGTTTCATCAATATCATTTTTTCTTCTAGGTATGTTATTCATATATAATTACAGGAATAATGACATCCGTGGAATTTTAGTTTCAATGTCATATGGTGGGAAATGTTGTCTTTTCTTTTTGTTCTCTCTCTCTCTCTCTCTCTCAAAGAATAGATGGCTGGAAAATTTAGCAATTGTCTTTCTATCGGTTTATTTACAGAATGATAAACCTTCTATACAACAAGATGAAGATAAAGAATTCAAGATCAATTGGAGACGAGTGGCTACCACTAGCTTGTTTGGTTTTGGGTTTGTTGGACCAGTTGGCCACTTCTGGTTAGTATTTCTCCCTCATTTTCAGAATACATTTGCCTATGAATTGTAAGAGTACATTTTAAGAAGTTTTTGCTTAACATGCATATTATATGAGCAGTCTCTCAAGAGACTTACATGAATGCAGTAGCATTTTAAGATCCTAGGTTTCACTTGAAATTAATATTCTTTTAAAGATGATTATTTGGCCATTGATGTTAAAGAAAGGTGACTTTCATCCGAGTGCTTGTCAAAAAAAAAATATTGAAACAGAAGACTTGGCATGTATATGAGATGATTAAAGAGGCCATGATCTGAAAATTTTGGCAAATAAGGAAAGGCCACTAGGTACTCTTATGAAAATTGATTTTCCATCCTAAACTTGGTCCCATGTATAAGATTAAAGACATATTGTGCATGTTTTTCCTCTATATTGGAAATTTAGAGTGCATAGTAGTAAATCCAGAAGATGGTCGGCAGCAAACCTAAAGCACTAAATATCAGACTAATGATTTTGACCTTTCTTGGGATTATTTTGAAATAGGCTAGAAGAGCATTAGTTAAAATCTGATGCCTTTTTGTGACATCTCGTTCTATATATGCCGTCTTCGTGCAATTTCTATTCACATAATTTGGGGGGTTGGTGGGGTGGTGTTTGAGGAAGCACAGATTCCACACCAATTTACTGCTCCAAAAATTTATTCCTATTTATTCGTTGAATTTTCTCCTCTCTAAGAAGAAAGTCATCACAATCCTCATTAGTCTTGCTTTGATCCTAGTCGTATGGGGTTAGCCACATGGATTGAATGCTCCAAAAAGTTGTACCCTATTTATTCCTTGAATTTTGTTTTATATAAGAACAAACTCATCACCTTCCCCATTAGCCTTGCCTTGATCCTAGTGAAATGGGGTTAGCCCCATGAATTCTCTTCTTCATCTCTTTACTACCTATGCCTTTTATTACATTTAATTTCTTGGGGTCTTTTCTAACAAGTTCATCCCATGTTAGTTTTGTCTGCCTCTTTGTCTCTTACTGTTTATTTTAGTTAGTATTACAATTTTTTTGGTGCATTTTTTGAACTATGTTGTAATATTCATACCACCCAACTCCATTTTCTTTTATTTTATCACTAACAATAATATTTGCCACTCATAAATTTTCTCTAACACGTATATGATGAATTCTTTAAGAAGAAACTAAATAGAATACAATATGCATATTTTGACAAGATTCAATGAAAATGCTGTATCATATTAAGACTAGTGCTTCATTTGGTACAACAGATGCAAAAAGTGGGTGGAAGGAAGGATGTGACATCCCTAGGGAGGAGAAGATGTCATTCCCCCTTTTTGTTTGGTGAAGTGGGAGAGAGTAGAAGGGGGTGACACCTTCCATTATTTGGTAAGAGAAAAGGAAAGGGGGAATATTTTATTGTTTTTACCACTATACCATCATTATATAATTTTGTAAAATATTTGCTGAAGGGTAATAAAATCACTTTACGTAATATGCCACACTTCTCCTTCGCTTCCCTCCTATACCGTCCAGCTTTGGAGGAACGAAAAACGGTGGGTTAGGAGGGGATGCTTCATCCATCCATCTCTCCAACTCTCCCGTGTACCAACCAACGAAGAAGGGTGAGAGGCATTGCAAATTGACGGGGCAAGATGTTTCCTATTCAAAGTTTTTGGGCTTTGCAAATAGGTTCTAACTTCTAAGGCTGTTATTTTTTAACCTCAAATGATGGTTTTGAACAAGCTTCTTCTAACTGATCAATTGTTAATAGAAATCGAGCGATTCATATTTTTGCTCCATCTGCAAAGGGTCCAAAGTTGGGTCATCTTGTGGCGTTATCTAGTACCTAAAATACTATGGAGTCTTTAGTATTCCCTTTTTTATTTTCTCTTGGTGTTATCCTCGACATGCTTATGGTAGTTTCTTAGCTTAGTCATTAAAAGCTTCATATAGTAGAGCAAATTAATGTTCGTGGTTTCTTTCCTTTTTTCTTTTCTAAATCCTTTTCAATTTATGCGGACGGTGCAAACAGTGTGTTTTTTTTTTTTTTTTTACTGGACTGCGCTAGGAAACTCAGAAAAATTGGGGTTTTGTCATAGGCTAAGAGTATGGAAAGCCTGCAGTTGTGGGTTTAGGGTTTTAAATTACAGAAGAATGGTTATGGGGTTTATAGATAGAAAGGGACTGTTGTTGACTTGGGTTTGGAATTGATAGGTTGCAAGAATTTCAGAAGAAGTGTGCTTGAATTTTGTGGATAACTAGTATTGTAGAGCCTGGTGTGGATTAAAAGGCTGCAAAAATAGGGGAAAAAGTGAGTTATAGATTGAGTTCTAAAAATGAAAAAAATTAAAGACATTAAGGCTGGTTGTGATTACAATTCCTTAGTCTTAAGGTTATTATTCATTTGGGGGGAAGGTGGGGTAGTTTGCTTAAGGTTAGGTTACATTACTCCTGATAGAGTTTGGAAACCTTCTCTCAAATTTTGTTTTCTTCTGGTGATCTTGTTGATAACTCCTTATATGACCAATTTGAGGGTTTGTGGACTAGTTTGAATTCCATAGGAGGTCCAAACTCTCCTATTTAGTGAGTCCTTATGCGTGTAATAACTTATATCTAAAATGAATTCATACAGATTACAGCTGTAGTTACAAATCAGTTACCCAACGAACTAAGACCATAAATATCAGCTTGTTACTTTCTTTGTTCTGCATTTTGCAGGTTGTGCAATAATATGAATATTGGATTAGGAGATGTTTGACCAGATTCTCCTAGAATTTCACATACTAGTCAATCCAACAGCCTTAAATAGTTAAGATAGGTCTGTGATCAATCATTAAGATAGGTCTGTGATCAATCATTTATTATTTGGTTGCTAGTTGCTGCATTAGTGGTCATGCTACCACTTCCCCCAAGGTACATGCTATGTTTTCAAAAATTAACAAGAAATGCTGTTATTTTTTGATATATTAATGGTTTTAATAGGACAGTGTAAATGGTTTTTCATTTTATTTTTTTGCCTTTGTCAGAATAAAATTTTAAAGTTTTACTGAAGGTAACAGTTTCATTTTATTATAGCCTATGAATAAAACAATGCACCCATCTTGTAGGTATGAAGGGTTGGACCGGTTTATAAGGTTGCGACTTCAGCTACAACCCAAATCCCTGCGATTTGTTGCTACTAAAGTAGCAGTTGATGGTATCATTTTTGGGCCCTTGGATTTGCTCGTGTTCTTCACTTATATGGGTTTTTCTGCCGGAAAGAGTGTTGCTCAAATTAAGGAAGATGTGAAGCGAGACTTTATCCCAGCCTTCATGTTGGAGGGAGGCATTTGGCCAATAGTTCAGGTTGTGAACTTCCGATTTATTCCAGTGAGGAACCAACTCCTCTATGTCAACTTCTTCTGCTTGTTGGATAGCTCTTTCTTGTCGTGGCTCGAGCAACAACAGGATGCTCCTTGGAAGCAGTGGTTCAAATCTTTGTTGACTTCAAAGGAACAAGAAGGCCAAGGCGGATAATTGTTTGTACCACAATATTGTTCATATTTCTCCTCTGCCCCTAGTGATGATAATGGAGGATACATGTCTGAGAAAAATATTTTTGCGAGATTCCTGAAATACCGACTTGTGTTTTTGAAGTTGGGTTTTAGGAAGTGCTAGAAATTGGTACGTGTCTCATCTGATTTCACTTCACTTCAAACGCAAGGAAGCGGATTTGACGATTCCCTATCCATTTTTCTATGCAGTTTTTCTGGCTTTCAACGCCTTGAGGTGTTGAGATTTTACCTGCTCCATTATCAAGTTGATTGAAAAGTACGAATAGAGACTTTTTTCTTTCCCTCTTTTTTCCCCTTTTAAAATTTTTTGGCTTATTTTAATTAAATACATTATTGATTTATGAGAGAAGTACATCAGACAAAATTTCAGCAGCAGTGTTCTTTGTTTCCTTCTCTTCTTTTAAATCACAATTGTACTAAAGAATTCCTCAGTTATAATTGCAGATTCTGGTTCACACAAATTGTTTTCGTATCATTTAGGTTTTGAAAGTATTGCTTTGCATGGTAAGATATTAGAGTTTTATTTGGTAGTGTTTGCTTGCAGCAGATGCAAAGTTAGAACTTCACATATTTGTCTCTGTATGAGAGTTGACGCGTTGTCTCTGTGTCATTTGGGTTTCTGAAGTACTGTTTTGCGTGGCCCTATCTGTTCCATACTTCTGCTTGAAGATGCAGAGTTGGAACTAAATTATGTATTTGATTGATTAAGAGGTGACCCGAAAAGGGCACCGTGGTTTAGTTGTATTTCTTCTACCTCCCAAAGTAGATAATGAAGGTTCGGGTTAGATAATGAGGGTTCAAGTTCCTAAAGGGGCAAGTGGTGTGTCTTTCTTGCCAATGTGAAGAAAAAGAAAAAAAAGTCTGTGTGTGTATCGTGATATTCAGTATTTCTTTTAGGCCATTTGCACCAGCCTTTTCGGATTTTGACACTCTAAAAATGCCACTTCAGCTTTTTCAAGAATCACGTCAGCAATTTCAAGAGTCACGTCAGTAGCTTTCGCTCTTCAGAAACAAGTACTCCATCAGACTCTCCTGATTTTCGCTCTAAAAAAAATAAAAAATAAAAAATTTATTATTATTTTTTTAATTATTATTATTATTTTCTAAACAGCTATATTCGTAACGGCAATATTTTTAACGGCTATATTTTTCATCTTATATAATGAATACTCATTTGCTTATCTGAAAATCATCACTACATTCATCTTTCTCCATTGTAGCAAAATATCATTATCCATCTTTTTCAATTTTGACATTCTAATGGCTTCGTCATCATAAGCTTTTCATTTGGCAAACTCTAATTCTTCATCATCCTCATCATCCTCTTCAGAAGATGACCCTATTGCCGCGTTGATTCAACAGGATTAAGACGAATTCTATGAAATTATGAATTCAGTCAGGCCAGAGATAGTTAAGCAAGTATTTCAAGTCCATAATAAGAAGCAGTACATTTATCGTGACCAAGAGGGAAACCACTATCAGCTAATAAAAGACTACTTCGACGAGAATTGCACATATCCACCGGAGTGCTTTCACAGGTGATTCAGGATGCGATAAGAACTTTTTCTTCGTATCGGCGAGAGCACTGTCATTAAATGCTTGAAGGTATTTTGAATGTTATTGTTGCTGTGTATGCAGAGGAGTGTATGCGCCCACTCAACGAAGCCGACATAGCACTGCTGCTTGAAGAAGAAGAGCAGAGAGGATTTCCGGGTATGCTTTGTTCTATCGACTATATGCACTGGGGTGGAAGAATTGCCTAGTGGAATGGCACGGCACACATAGGGGACGCTCTGGCAAGAATACTCTCATATTGGAAGCAGTTGCCTCACAAGATTTGTGGATCTGGCATGCATTCTTTGGAATGCTGGGTTCACACAATGATATAAATGTGTTGGATCATTCCCCGATATTCAACGGTATCGTCAATGGCCAATTACCTCTGGTTAATTATGTAGTAAATGGACATCACTATAGAATGGGGTATTACCTGTTTGATGGTATATACCCTAAGTGAGCAACTTTGATGCGGACCATCTCGCACCCAACCACTTTAAAAGAAAAATTGTTTGCTCAGCGACAAGAGGCATGCAGGAAAGTTGTGGAACGGGCTTTTGGGGTATTGCAGATCAAGTGGGCAATAACGCAAGGACTAGTGCGTTACTAGGAGAAAGATGACTTGCGCCTCATAATGAAAACGTGCATCATCCTTCACAATATGATCATTGAAGATGAGCGTCACTTAAATGTTGGAAGATGGACTCCGCCACCGGAGGATGCAATCCCGATTTCCACTTTAAGTTGATGCCCATCGGTTTTAGCAGCACACATATTCTCTCGCCAATTTCAGATTCGCAATAGAGAGACAAATACGTGATTGAGGAATGATTTGATGAAAAATTTGTGGAACCGCTATGGTGATGAAGATGTTTAATCTATGTTACATTTTGTTTGCTTTTAAGATGTTATGACATTTCGTGTACTAGAATTTTTATTATGTAATGGTTTTTAAGATTAAAAATAATGAATTGGAATAAGAAAATAAGGATTACAAAATCACAAGTATATGAATTTGTAATTAAATTTTTTTTTTTAAGTTAAAAAAAAAAAATTTATACTTAAAAAAAAAATATATAGTCGTTAAGGCACTATTTGTGTCAGCCAAACAGTGCCTTAACGGCTAAATGCATTCTTTGTGTGGTACACATTTAAAATTTAAAGCAAAAAAATTTTAAAAAAAAAATTGAGGGAAAAAAACAAAAAAAAAAAAGGTTTTTTAATTTATTTTTAGCCCAAATAATTTTTTTTTTAGACAAACAGTGCCTAAACAATATATTTTTTATTTAATGAATTTTATTTTATTTTATTTTTTAAAAAAAGAGCTCAAAATAACCTATTTTTAGGTTTTTTCAAAAAAAAAAAAAATCAGTGTCTTCACGGTTCCAGGACCGTTTGAGAATAAAACAAAAAAGGCAATTGCAAAACGGCGCCATTTTGCAAAAAAAATATATATATAACAATCGAGGGCTGGCTAGCGGTATTTCGCAAGATGGCCCACCAGGCACAGTGGGCCCCGCGGATTTAAGCTAGCCCGCTGTTCGGCCAAAGGGCCACTTGCTCGCAAATGGGCCTTTAGCGCTCTTACAAACCTTGCAATACTCAGAAGCAGGCACGTTGAGCTTTGAAACCAAAGGACCTTGTACACAGAAATGGGAAAAAAAAGAAGGCATTCTCTTCATCAATACCCTATCGGTACTAAACTTTGCTCGTAATGGTAAAGGTTGGTACTATAAAAACATCAATCAAGAAAGAAATTGATATGCTTCCTTGTCACTCTCTCTTTCTCACTCTCTCTCTCTCTCTATATATATACACGCACACACATATATATATATAAAGTCGATAAGAAACTTCATCATGTTTTGTTTTTAGAATTAGATGAGAATCCTGGTATCTTCACTTTTTTATTAGTAGAAACTTCATCCCAGTCCCATGTTGGCTACAAGGCTGCTTCTCACAGTTTTCACGTGATGCATTTCTTTGAGTTTTGCTTCACAAATTCTCAAATCACTGTTGGCATAGGATTTTCTATTGGCCACTCGATCTTATGGTCAATCGTATTGCCAAGGGTTCAAATTCTTTTATTACCTACGAAAGAAATTTTGTTTAATTTGAAACCCATCTATCTAATAGCTGGTAAAATGAGCTTATAATTAATACCTGTAAACAGAGTGCAAATTCATCCATATAATGACAATTGTAACCAGAGATAACAGGTACAGAAACAATGGCTTATCTGTACAGAACATAACTACATTCTCTGAAACAATTTACAGCCCAAAAAAGGCAGCAGATGCATGAAGGTTTCGGCTGAGAGCAGTACCATGGCATTGGGGGTGACCACTTGCTTCCTTGGACACCATGTCTCAAATTAAATGAACAGCTAGCTCTATGCAGTTAAGTTCCATCCCATTTTGTTGCAGGCGGCATAATGCATTGGTCATCGGAGAAGATAACTGCACAACGGCAGATTACCTTTGTACATCTCACAAATTTTTGGTCAAGGCTCTGAAATTAATAGCCAAATGATACACTTCAAGTTTAACATCGACAACATTGCCAGTATAACACTCAACCATTGTACAACTCAATTTGGTGCTTCAGCCCTTCCTTTTCTCATATTTGCATCCTTGGAAGTCCCAAAACACGTTGATGGCACCTCAATATTTCAAGTGTCTAGCTTCCTTAAATGGTACGCTCTGTCAATCAAAAAATGCAGGCGATGAATGTGTTAAAGTGATGAGTAAATATTCCAACTTGACAACATCATCCCACCAGTGTCATTATCAACTGAATGAAGATCAAATTTTAGGGTTAGTTTCCGCATTCATCTTACCATAATAAATCATGGACATATAGACTCCCATGCTAAAAAAGATATAGACTGAATTTCAGACATTGCAATATGAAGATACCGTACAGAAAGATGAAATTGAACTTTTGACCAGAAAAGTCTTCAGCAGAAGGTCGGTTCTCTCTTGATTTTCATTTAGTTTCTTTCTTGTCCAAAACGTGACAAGCTCGATTTTATTTTATCCAAGCTAAAATGCACCAAATTCATTCCAACCTTAACCATTTACCTTATCCCTTCCTTAGTGTTATAGCTTAAACTGAGCCTTGAAGGTTGATGGCTGAATAGGGACTTTGATGAACATTCCAGCCAAATGTGCTAATACATGAAATCAGCTATAGAAACATGAAAAAGACTATGAAAATCCAGCCAGCTTCATAGAATCCATCATCATAATCACTTTCTCAGATAAGCCTGCTCTTCGGTAGCCGGCAACTAACAAATTGTAAGTCGATCTAGTCAACTTGTGAGAACCTCTTATACGTTCTAAAAACAAGTCTAACCTATCGTAAGCTGCCTTCCTGAAGTATGAACAAATAACCTTTTCGACATCATCAGGGCATCTGAATGAGATCCCTTGTTCCAACATCCTCCCAACGGAGTATTCTACATTGTCCAATCTATCTAACATAGCATACATCCTTATAATCCCACAATGCACCCGTGACATAACTTCCGGAAGTTGATTACATTTCATTAAACTCAGTAGTAGCTCCTCCAACTCTTCCACTCTCCCAAGTTCACCATACAACCCCACAAGCTTCTGAGTCGTATATCCATTAATCTTCCACCCACCATTCACTATGAACATCAAGAACTCCTTAACTTTATCTAAATTTCTCTGCTCGCAGAGCCCCACAAGCATACTCTCTAATATGAATAAATTAGGGGTGATTCCTGATAGAATCATCTCTTCATAAAATTTATCAGCAGCATCAAATTGTTTTAATTTGACACAACCTGAAACGAGAGATTCATAGGTCCGAAGATCAGCAGAAAACCCAGCATTTCTTTTGGCCGTGTACCAAGCTTGCATGGCCTTATCATTTCCCGTGTTTGCGTGCACCGAAATGAAAGCATTATAAGTGTCAGAATTAGGCTTAAAGCCCTCTGAATTCTCCATTATTTCGAATAAGCTTAATGCTGTTATTATATTACCTGAAGACAAGAAGACAGCTATGAGTGCATTGAAAACGGCTGAAGAGGGTCTGATTCCATGGGCCTCCATCGAAGTAAACACATGCATCGCGGCAGACACGTTTTGGACCTTTCCAAATAGATATATCAATTCAGAGTAACAATCATGATCTCTCACATTATCTCTTAGCAATTTCTCTAATCTCCATTCCAAAACCTGACCAAAAATATGATGTGGATACATATACACCCACAAATAAAGTTAGTGACAAAATTAACAAACACCCCTAATCCAATTTTTTTTTTTTTGGGAAACGAAAACCCATCCAACCTAGTGACTTTTGGTACACACAGGCTGCAAGGTAAACCTAGGCTATGTAAAATCACTTGCAAACCCCACATATCATTTAAACCCAGGTGTTTTTGCATTTTTTTAAATCCGGGAGGGGGGACTTAGACACGGGCACACCCGCTTGGGGAACTAGAAGCTCAACCAATTAGGCCACTGGGTAATGCCCGTTTTTCGTAAGTGGAAAACCATGATTCAGTTGAAAAAATTACTTAAATTTTGAACATGCTAATCATACTCCTTAATTTCACTGTCCTCCCCTCAGGTTTCATATGTGTATCAAACAATCAGTTCAGTGTTGGCTAATTATTGGAATTTTGCACATCAAATTCATCATTTTTTTCTCAATTATAGTAACCAAAATAGTCTCTCGAGGGTGGGGTTTATTTAACTTGCTAAATAAAAACAGGAAAAGTAGAGAAACAAAAAATTTCGACAAGTAACATGTTTTTCATTGTTATTATAATTTCTGAATACATATATAAATATTTTGGTACCCACATTCTCTGTTAAACCCAAATAATAAAAGCTTTACTAATCAAATATAAAATAAATAATTATATATACATATATAGTGAATATATAATTATATATGGAAGAAAAAAGTTGTGATTTACCAGCTGAGCTTTGTCAGTAGATGAAGAAGACTTGAGAGCAGTGATGAGGGCATCCCATGAAAACTCGGATGTGAAATTGTTGCCCTCTGAATCGAGGGTCGCTTTGATTCGCGATTTTGGTTCTTGAAGCAATCGGGTAATCAGAGGGCTCGAAATTGACGAATAATTGTTGCAGCAAATCAAAACCTGAGATTTGAGAGGAACTATCAAATGCCATTGACGACGACTTTCGAAACCCCTTTTGGCCAACGATAAAGCCCTACAAGCTAACGCCATCTCCTTCCTCTCTGGTTTCAGTTTTGCATTTCATTTCACACATATTCAGAGTCTTCAGTTGAATTGATGGAGAGGAAGTGTCTGTTTGGATGGAGGGTCATGTCTATGCGGACAAGGGTTTCCAATCCCCTAATTGTCCCGCGTTTTTTTCGTTTCTCTTTCTTTTTCTTTTCTCTTTTTAAGTAAAACATAAACCCTAGCCACGTACACCAACAAAAAAGACAAAAAGAGAGGATAAATTACTCTTACACCCTCGAGGTTTTCTTTTATTACGGTATTACCCGTAGCTCTTAAACCTGTGAAAAAAAGTTGGTCAACTCCCCTGTAGTTTGTTGACCTTTCCTTCACCTCCCCTTTTATTAGTTGACTATTAGATCAGTTAAAAAAATAAAATAAAATAAAATACCAATAATACCCTTTTGTACATCAAAACGACAAAGAAAAAGAAAAAGAAAAATAAATGACAAAATGAATCTTATTCATCACCATTTAAGCCATTTTATTTTGAACACAAATATCCTACCATTTTTTTACACACAAATCTCATATATATAGTACAAACATGGCGAATAAATAGCAATTAGTAGAATAGAAATCAATCCATTATAATTATATATAGTAGTTTTCTTTATAGGGTTAGTGAAGACAACTGAATTGGGTGACAACTGTTCAATTTTGTCACCAAATTTTTTTTCGAGATGAACAATAATATTGTGAATTCGAATTTTGGCAAAATCAATATTGGGATTGCCCTTTTGAACTAGAGTTTTTTTTATAGAAGATGGATTAAAAGGAAAAAAAAAAGCAATTGATTGAACAAAGGAGATCTCAACCATTGAGTTTGTTATTTGGATTTCTTATATTGGGATTCATAGGCGAGGATATTGTTGAAGAAGCTGGAGGATGAGATGGAATGGTGGGTGTGGCAATGTGGTGGGAGAGAGAGAGAGAGGAGCTGGTAGCCTGGTAGAGGAGAGAGAAGTGATAATAAGGTTGTGTTTTGTCAGGTTAGCCACTCAAAATCAAGGGTATTTTGAGGATTTGAAATATATTGCTGATATCAGTAACATAAAATAAAAAATAATAATAATAAGGATATTTCAGTAAATAGCCACTACAGAGATTAGGGCATTCTGTAAATTTACATTATAGTTTAAATTCACTTACAAATAGTTACTCTGGCAGTGGTGTCAGAGTAATTTTGCAAAAACATTCATATACAGATAATAAAGACATATCTTAGAGAGGTCAGAATAATTTACCCAAAAAAAAATATATGATACTAACCCAAAAATTTAAAAATAATATTAGTGAATAATATGATACTAACATTTTTGTGAATATTTTAGTTAATTGAGGGCTATTTTTATAATTATCAAAATTTGTGTATTGAAAATATAAATAACAACCCCAATTTGGCCTTTCATTATTGTGAATGATTACTTCGATTAAGTTATTTTCATGATTTAAATTTTACTCATTAAAATCGTCTTTGTGACTTTAAAGAAAACTTGAATAAATTCAACAAAAAACTCTAATTTATTTTCAAAGATTCAATCTTTACACATTAAAACGGTCGAGCGACTTAGAAGGTACCTTGATTGAACTATTTTTATTGAAAGATTCAATATTTACTTATTAAAACAATCTTGAGAGGACTCGGCACCTCTATTCCAATGATTTATTAAAAAAAATAAAAATTTGCTTTCTATTCAATAATAGTCCTCGCAGGACGGTGAAACCCATCACACTTTTCTTCTCCCAGACAGTCCTCAATTTCATCCCACCCCTCTCAGGGTATAAATTTTTCCCACAGAAACTCGGACCCATCCCGCAAAACAGTGTCCTATCTTGTCCAGTTAGTAATGTACCTTATCAAAAAGTTGTCACGTTGAATTCCACATCACTAACATTTTCACAACCTACGTCACTCATTGGAGGGATCAGAACTAGTGTTTCGTAGAAGAGGATTTGAACCCAGAAACTGAGCAGCTGGTTCAGACCTCATAACAACACTCATCAGTCATGACTCCTGACTTCCTTATAGCAACTTAGAAATGAGGTGGTCTTCCTCATTAATCAATCCCCTTGCAGACCCAGTGCCCAGCCTTCTTGTTCAATCAGAACACGGAACATAATAGCTGGTTTTGCACAGAGCATTGGGTTGGCTACCGAAAAACGGTGTCTGAAAAATAAAAAACCCTCTTCATACTCACTTGTCACTAATAAGTTCCGAATGCACACTACCATAAAAAATTAGAACTTTCAGGCGAAGACACCTCAGTTTGCACACTACCATAAAAAATCACTTTCGAGTAATGTGTACGTAAAAGAAATTAAATACACAACTTGAGAAGTTTGTAAAACAATATCGCTACAAACAAGGGAAAAAAAATAGGAGATCAAGCAACCACAGTCCGACACTAATCATTCTTATATTGTACAGAAATGTACCGCTATAGAAAACTCTCACTCACTATGTTTCTTTCCTCAAACAAAGAGAATTACATGAAAGAACGTAAACCAAAACCTAAACTATGCCAGAGTACAAAAATGCATTTGAATGACTAGGACATACCAAATTTGGACAAGGCTGACTGGAACAAAGCTGAGAAGGCCTCGGAGGAACTCTGATCATCAGCTTTGATCTTTATTTGAGCTTTGGATGTTGATGAATTAATTATACACTCTACAAGAAAGGTCGATGACGATGACTCTGCTTTTTGTGCAAAGAAAAAGAATTTGAAATTTGGGGCTTGACCACCCGAGGCGATGCATTGGATGAAATGGCCCTGCATGTGTCTCAGGAGGGATTGAGGCGTTGTTAATGCCGCCACTCCTTGTGGATTCATGGAGTATTCCTGCAAAAATATTAAATTAATGAAATGCTCTCAACGAAAGACGAGTGCAGATAGACAAAAGACAATACAGGTTACAGATTTAGGAGCATAAAATCTAACAAGCCAAGGCATGCAAAGGTAAGATATGTATCAACAGCTACTATTACATGGATGCACATGCAAAAGCTACAATATTTAACAGCTTGCAGCTTTCCGACTTCTATTCAATGTGAGAACAAAGTTGCGCCAAAAAATTATTATTTTTAGAAAAAAAGAAAAGCAAAAGAGAGAGAGGATAAGAACACAGTAAAAAACTTGTGGACCATTTCAGCCATTGATAAATCGAATAAGATCTTGATCAGGGTTTTAAGACTAGAAAAAATTAGATTGACTGTTCAGACTGGCCATGTGACAGTCCATCTGAGAGAACCTGTCACATAATAGGAAAACAGCTTCTTATGTCATGTTGCAAGTTACGCGCTACTAAGCTGGAAAATAGAAGGTGGGAAAGAAAAAACAAACTAAATTCTTGTACACCGAAAAGCCATCCGAAGACGGTACCGAATAGAGACATCCTAAAATAGATTTTAAAAGTTTGAACAAAGCAATGGAATATCATGAACACTTCAAATAGAATGTCCACTGGATGAGTGTATGAGGTACATCCCCATGAAATATAAGTTTCTTAAGTTGCCAACTATTTAAGCTCAAATGAGTATTATCTTTAATATGCTGCAGAGTAACCATGAATATAAAACTGCAAGTTTCATTAATAGGTTTAGCCCAAACCCACTTCACTCGATGTACATTACAGGTTTAATTTGGGGATGTCATTCACCAGGTCAACTAAATTGTGTCTTATCATTTACTAAATTAACTAGCCACAAAAACATAAGAGATTCTATCTCATATAATAAATATATGTTTGCATATATACAAAGACTTCTATATGTGTTCATATATAAATATACAAAGAGAGATAGAGAGCGAGAGAGAGCAATATTCAATAAGCGCAACCAATGTAGATGACCAAAAGTCATATAGAGAGTTCAAAGTAAACCTGTGATACAGATATTTGTAATTGGCGCCATTTCTGCTGAAAAGTATTCGGATCAAGTACAGCCTTTGCATTAAGCTTCAAAGGAGGAGGTGCAGGTGCAGGAGCAGGAGTGGATGCAACTGGCAAACCTAAACCAAGTAGATCATCAATGGCCAAGCTAGTTTGCGGAGCTTGTGCTGGTAATGGGTTGATTGAAGGTATGAGCTCCAATGGAGCCTGAGAAGCAATCAAGGGTGCAGAAGAAGCATCATATGAAGGGGCGCTGTATGCAGAACCGTTGCCACTAGGAGCTCTATTTTCTTCCCTCTCTGAGGTACTTAGAAGCAGATCCTTGTCATTTGCCTCAACACTTTGGGCGGAGACCACGTCATTTCTAGATTCTACTCCAATAGATAAATTTCCAAGTTCTTCTGAAAAAGCAAATGGACCTCTGTGTTCCTTATCGGTAAACATGTAAGAAGGCTGCAAAATTTGTAGATTGTCAGCTGACAGTATTTATAGAAACCATCAATTAACTTCTATTCTATTTCCAAATCCCAAACATAATTTATCATAGACATGAATATTCGTCAAACCAGAGTCTGATATGGAAGTGAAGATACATTAGATATTTAAACAATGCCTGTGTTCACCCTTGAATTTCCCATCTTAGTAGGCTTATCCAACTATCCTCAGGCTAGTTTTGGGGCTTTCTCTATGTTTTCTTTCCTTCATGGAATGTCCAACTTTCAAAGCATCTTTTGGATTCAGAATCAGCTTTAGAAAGCAAGACGGAGCACTTCTAAAGCATGTTTTTACAAGAGGAAAGGAAAATTAGTAGGTCTAGGACTTCTCTCTCCCAGTGAAGAATTACATTCCAGCATGATGGACATTAGTTGAAAATAGTTCTCAACAAAAATGCAAAAATAATTGCTACATTTTCCAGGCTTATACTTCCCTTTTTTTCTTTTATATCTCTCTTCTTCTTTTTTTTCTTTTTTCTTTTTTTTTTTTTCTTTCTCTCTTGTTTGGGGAGGGGAGTGGACAGTCCCTTCTCGAATTGTTTGTGGGAATCTTTTACTAGACTTGGGAGTCGTGGGCAATCGAGGACCTCACCTATAATCTAAGGCTCAAGGCACATTATGACACCAAGGTCTCCTGGAGCCTAAGCAGGTGCAACTAAAGGTGTGAACCTAATTGAAGGCGCATGTGTAATAGTAGTAATGCATATGAAATAATGATATATCAGTATAAAAAAAAAAATGAGTATAAAACCTTTTGATATGTATATGAATTTAACTAAATCAAATGCCATTAAAAATGTGCAACAATAAAAGGCAATAATCATATAAGTTTAACATGTATAATATTAAGATAAAATTTCAGAATCAGACACAGGACACACTTTATGTAAATAGTTACTATAAGCTCATGAATTCCATTAAACATCATAAGATTAAACAATGTGGTCCATCAAATAAGACCATGATATGAGAGTACGTAAAGTCATGGCCGTTTTAAAAGGCAATTAGAAAGATAGGATGAGTGACTGAAAAATAAGAGGCGGGCTTTTTTCCAGCCTAAAGCTTTGCTAAAAAGCACGGGCCCGAGGGCTTTACGTGAGCCTCGCTTATAGTAGGTTGAGGCGCTCTAACTCAGCCTTGACCAACCTGAGACTTTTTTTTAACCTAGGTGCGGTTTAAGACTATGACCTCACCCAATATGTTTGCGCTTTGTAAAATGGAAGGCATGACTAATATTCATTTTGCTAGGTTCCCCTTCTGTATTCTTTATGGGAATCTGGTACTAGACTTAGCAGACATAGGTAATGTGCAATGAAGCTAAAAGATACAATAAGCCCTAAAGGCTTGAAATCCAGAAGGATGCAATTTTTTGTTAAATCAAAATCATGCATCATGTCGAAAGCTTCTTCACTGCTCACAAATGTGTGCATCTCAGTAGAGGGAACCAAACCACCTTTGAGGGAAAAAAAATGAACGAGGATGCTGTGTGAAAGATAATAGTTCACAAATGTAGACCAAGTGGCAGAATCTCATGATGCATGGACAAGTATGGTGCATGACTTGCAATAGTCATGGATATAAAAATTTTATTAAATTTGATTTGTGCATCTTGTGGAGTTTTGTTATAGACATGATTACATATGAAATTTTGTCATTGTCATTTATAAACTAAAGAAATTTATTTTACAAGTAAATTTCAATTTTGCCAAAACTCTGTATCTGTATTGCTCAGTGGCTTATCTTCACATAAACGGTCCCAAGTCCGGCAAGGAGAAGGGTCGTGTGAGGTAGCTTGACAGCCAATGCAAAGACTTCTGTCAGGATTTTATGAATATAAATCCAAGGAATAGAACAAGTAGCACGTGGTGACCTTAAAAAACACAGAATGGCACAACAGGATTTGTGTAGCCGGCCCTAAATAGTTGGAAAAAAGGCTGAGTTGAGTTAATTTTGCAAAATAGTTTAAAGTCCTATTTAACAAGTTAGCAAGGGAAATAGCCATCACTTCCCCCCCCACCCCCGCCCGCATGAAATTGAATAATAATAACTACTATTCAAAAACTTCATCCCACTCTCAATCCTTTTTTTACACTATAATTGTTTGGAGCATAAGACTGGTTCAAGAAATTTTTAATTGACTATGAGTCTTGCAGGTGATTTACTATGAACTCAGATCAGCATTGAGGGAACAGAAGTAAAGTTACCTTCTGGTATACAACAGAGAGGCTGTTGAATTCATCAAATATGCGATCTTTTATTTCACTACTCTGAGTATCTGCAAAGACGGACACAGCTTGCTTCAGAGGGTTCACTACACGTTCTGCTACAGATACATTATGTTGCAAAAGCCTGTAGTAGAATAAGGCTCTATCATGAACATCCTGCAGCAAGTGAATAGTTTTAACTGAACATTATTGCACAAACTAGTCTGAATCATAGATAACTTCAATCAAAATTATTCAGCCTTTTGAAATAACATAGAGGTCAATTCTGAACCTGATGAAAATCAGCAAGACCAGCAGCTAAAGCAGCTCCCAAGGCTTTCTGAGTCTCAGGTGGCCTTCTTAAGAAACACTTCATTACAGCAGTAAGAAGATGCAACCGAACCTGTGCGATGTTAACATTGATAATTCAGTACTCATTCCATGCAGATTTAAAAGAGGTAAACCGTAATGTATAGAAATATTACTTATTCTAAACGCATGTAAAGCATGGATGGCAAGCTCAGGGTCCATAAACAACAGGTGAGACAGGTTAGCTACCTTTTGCCTCTTGGTTCAATTGGATCAAATGCCATACACATTTGGGCTTCAACATCAAGACATGAAACATATTTTGAAAATCAAAGATTAATCATTGTTCCAATTCTTCTATGTTTGACCCCAAATCCACAAAATCCCGTCATAACACTCCTATTTTGTCCTGGATATTAATTGTATTTTTTCCTTGGCCTCTAGGAGTTTCACGTCTGGGCACTTGAGAAATTAGCCTGATTCATACTGAATCCATGCCATAGTCAATAAGCTACTGTCTAAATACTAGCTGCTATTCAATTAGAATTCTATTCCAGAAGAAAATAATGTTGGTTAAAAACTTCCACCCAATACAATATCCTGGTCAGGAAAGCCTGTAGAGATAAACAACTGAGAAATATTGAGAAAATGCAGCCTGGTTACCTCAGCAGAATCCTCATCCTCCCAGCTGTCAATTAAACTTTCCAAAATATAAGGAGCATCCTGCATATCTTGAGCATACTCCCCTAGCATCCAAATAAGAGCAGCCTTGGCTTTCGGCTCCTGAACATTTTGGCTGCTGATATTTCCAACAACTGCAATGCAATCATGACTCCATTGAGGATATTTCCTGAGAAGATCCTTTACAAGCACCTGCATAAAGAAGTCCAAATTTGCATCAACTGCCCAAAAAAAGTTCATTATTCAATAATGTTATTTGCATGGATTTAGGATACATTCTGCCGGTATTGGTGTCGACATGTGGTTTCGTATCAGAATATTCAAGTATCTAGGATGCACAAATATAGGATTTACCAGAGTTTCAGCTGTCACATAATCCTTTTCCATCTCCAGAAACTGAAGCAACCTATCAACAATGGCATTCACATCATACTGCTGCAGAGCTATCTTACCAACAGCCCTAATTGACTCTCTTGCCATCGGAATATCAACATTTGCAGCATATTCACATAATTCTGTCACTGAAATGGATAAATAAAAAATTATGCATTAGTTACACATGAAAATCTAAAAATTAAAGACAATATCTGTGACCAGATAATGGGTCACCAACCAGGACGAAATGCAGATTTTCCTACGTCAACAATTTCTGTGAAGCATTCAGTGTAACTCTTTTTTAATTTTTGCTTACCAATTTCATAAGTATTGTTCTCGTTGGCCACTGCAGTCAACATTTCAAGCTTCAATTTCTTAGCATAAAATGGATCATTATATTGGCAATAGAAGTGTTTGTAGTCTGAGGAAAATAGCATAGGTGCACGCATCACCAAAAGATGCAGGTGGCTTAATACTGCATAAGATTGCTCCGGACTTCCTGAGCTCACTAGGGTAAGCAAAGGTGCTTTGATACGCTCGTACACCTGTAGAAGAAGATTTTTATTTTTTTCATTAAGGAAATGCCATTCTTTTGAAATATGGAGTGATAAAAGACAGAGCCCAGCAACCGCAAGATAACACTCATTAAAAATGTAAAATTAATGCTGATGAAGCAAAAAATACAAAAAGGAAAAGCACAGAAAGACAAGAAGAAGATTCCCTACAACTGATGAGGCATACCACTTCAGATCAAAATCAAACAAGAATACACAACGATAAGATATAGAAAATAAGAAACAGTTACCACTAGCGAGGGGAGAATGCGCCGTTAATGCCACTCCTTACATGGATTTATGCCCAAGAACAGTTTATATCACTAGAATTGATGTAATACCTAAATTATTAGAATCTAAATTTTAGAAATAATTAGTGGCAAAATGGTAAATAAGGTGATTTTAATCTATGTGGGTACATGATTCTTAGTAACAAAACATGTCCTAAAGACCATTAATTAATTATTATTTAGGGAGTATGCAGACATGTGAGAGAGCATGCATCTTCGAAGAAAAGCCTAAAACTTATTCAGGAATACAGGCAAGTAGATCTTGTTTTTATCTTTTATATATATACATTTGTGACTTGATCTATTAATGATTATAAGATTAAATTTCACAACAACATGACCTAGAACACAATCTGTGAATATGAAGATGGATACGGGTGTTACATCTAGGGATAACTTAGTAATTTCTTCTTGATTTATGGAATTAAACAATCTGATATTTCATTATACTGTATATATACATATATATATATACGAATAATTTAGTAAATTCTTCTTGATTTATGGAATTATAAAATCTACTATTTCATGATATCTGTATACATAATGATGATTGTAAATCTGGACACACACACATACACACACATGTCCACAAAGTAGTAGTATGTGTATATATAGCCTTGAATCTGTCATACATGAATACATGTATATTTATGTTTGTGTGTGTGTGTGTATACAAAGAAGTAGTACTATAGTTGCATTCGAATGCCATGGCTGAAGCTTGAGTTTGAGGCCAGGAGATTGTGAGATTTAACATTGATTGACATAAATCGGGAAATTTTAGGAACTTGTTATGATCTAGAACACAACCTGGAAGAGGCTGGATTGTTGCAGGATCTGAAAACTGGGGTTTTTAGTAGTGAGGTCCAGGAAAAGGGGGAAGATGACAACCACCAGCAGCCTGCACACACCCATGTGCAATGGTGGCACATGGGGACGGCGATCTGGCAGTTGGTTGGGCCGTCCAGGCTCCACTAGCCCAACTGAGATGTTTGGGCCCAATTTCAGGTCCATCCACAAAATATATTTTATTTGAATTTTTTACTATTAGACATTAGAAAATATTTTCCAGAGAATTGTGATAAAATGCAAATATATCATTCTCATCTGGTTTACAAATTGAACTAGAATATTAGTGTTTCGGTGTACTTAGGTAGATTAGTGGTGAAATTAGCTTAAAGAGTAATACTTTTGCATCTTCATAACAAAAGAAAAAATATACGCCTGCGCCGTGTTATTGCAAAACCAAAAGAAGCTGAAGTTACTCCTTATGATCTTTGTGATTGGAATGTAAAATGATCAAACTCAGGAATTTAAAGCATATACAATATAATGCATTTAAGCTGACGAATTATCTATAAATCATTGGGCCATAAATTTTGAAGGATAGGTAAAATTTGAGGGTTTGAGGAACACTATAGAACTTAGATAGTAATTCGGGTAGGGTACACTACACGTTATTTTACTAATTGATTCTATCAATTACTAACTAATGCAACGACGAGTAATATATTGCTCTTTGAAATTATTGTTTGGTTGGAGCCTGGAGGGGAAGTCCGGGATTGACCCTATGAGGACTATAATTGGTATGATATGAGGACTTGCCTTTGGAAGGTGCATGATCCTTCATTGTTGATATTATAAAAATGGCCATTGGGCTAAGCACTCCCTTTTATGAGGTTTACAGTCTAGGACCTCTGGGTGAATAGACGTATGAACCCAGCATTTGTGTTTAGGTGGTCCATGATTGGAGTGTGTATGAGCTGTGCTACGACTATATAATCCCGGGTTTGAGATTGCGCCACTTAGCCCCGGGCCTCATGGTTAAATAATTGAAAATTAATAATTGTTCATAAAGAAAATTAACTAATTAAAGAGTTGAGGAGGAAGAAATGGTTGTATAGTTAGATTAAAGATAACAATTAATGAGATATTAATTATTTATTACTGAGATAAGTTTATAAAATAATATAATTACTATAATTGAGTTGCATTTATCTATGAGAGCATAAAGTAAGATCATCTTGTTTGCTGTGATCTTGCTAAGTGATGTAGGACATAATTCTGAACGGTTCAACAAACAGGTTTTCGACATCGTAGGAGTGTTTTTTGGGTTGGAAACTACCTTTTGAGTTAAACCCACTAGCTTTAGCTTGTGGGCCATGTTGGTTTTCCGCTGAAAATCTTCGTTTAGGGCTCCGAAATCGTGTTTTGTCTTATAGGAGGCCTGCTGATTATTTCAGGATTTTTGTTGGAGGCCTTAACGAAGTCTGAATGCTCTGAGATTTTATATTTAATAGTTTTATTTGATTAGGTTTCTTTATCTATTTTTTCAAAATTTTTAGAGAGAAATTATTTTTAGGGTTATTTCTAGGATCAGTTTCCTTTTAGTGTTAGGTTTTCACTATTATAAATATACATGTACTGCAAGAGAAGAATTCAACCATTTATCAATAATATTTCAGAATTCTTTATGAATTTATCTCTTGTTTTGTGGATTCAAAACACCCTACTTTGTGGATTCAAAGTAGCCCGTTCCTTGTGAACAAATCTATCGCTTCCGCTACGTCACTAAGTTTGTGAACTCACTCCTTTATTATCTACCAGATACTTGGGACGTGACACATGGTAGATGCACGTGATAGAGTTATTTAATTTATTACTGTTATTATTCTAGTTCCTATTCTTACTATTGAGAGACATTGTAATGAGGATTGTCTTGTAGTAGTTTTAGAGTTCGATTTTATTGAATAGTTGTTATGGATTTTATAATGAACTTTATTTTAAAAAATGTAATTGTATATTGTAGGCGATGCAGTGCATATGGTTATTTGATTATGGACTTTATTTAATAACATCATTGATTGAAATCACCAAGAACCTTTTTTCCCTATATCCTAGTCCAATGGGGATGTGTTCAAGCTGGCTAAAACTTGTGCTCTTGAGACAAATACAGAGGCATCATAAGGCCAACACCGGCAAACTTTTAACTACAGAACTAGAAAATAAGTATTATAGCACTCTCTCTTGATCAATAACCATACACACATCTGCTAGAGATTTTTTAAATCTATTCTGTCACTTTTCCTTCTAGTAAGCGATTTGAGATCCATAACAAAAGTCAAATCCTTCAGTAATCTCGAAAACCCATGGCATTTAATATTTTTTGCTAGTACTAAAATATTCCTTAGTGCTAGCAAAAAACAACTTCAAGCATTCAAGGATTAAGAAACACCAGATCAGATTCATGCCATGTAGATGATGTATATAAATGTAGTAATAAAGAAGGCTTATAAAGCATGATGACAACTCAAATAACCTTGCAATGGCTAAAAGGACTCAATCTCAATGGATCTCCCTTGATATATAGAATAAGACATTATTTCATTATTACTTGAAATAGATCAAGAAAGGGATCTTATTGATAAGCACTGGTTCATGAAAGTGAATAGCTAAAAAAATTCACTATTACTTGAAAAAATGAACGCATAAATGAACATATATGATAGGCACCTGCTGATGAACATCATTCATAGACAATGTCAATTGCATAAAGAGCTTAATGGTTGCTAAGACAACGGCACCATTTGCATGTTGAAGCCTATCTTCAAGAAGATTCATGATGTCAAATATCTCATTGCCGTCTGAGGGTACATATTTAGCTACCAATTCAAGGACAATACATTGTGCCCATTCACTGAATTCCTTGATCCTGCAAAATATGTAGAAAAGCTAAGGATTTTTTGTTTCATAGAAAAATCAATAAGAAAGATATTATAAAAGAATACCAGTACAGGATGATTTACTGCACATTTGCATCTGTAACTGTTACAGTGAATCAGGCACTATCTTATTCTGTCAACTCTGCTGCTGCATTCACTACCATAACAGGGGCAGCGGCACCATAAGGGGTCCATTGCAAGTGTGGAGAATTTGATATCTAATTTATAATGGATTACTATTCTGTGTATGCCTTGCACCCAAACTTTCACCTAATTGATAATTAATTATCATATGTAGATTCTACTGCTGCATCAATTACCACAGCAGAGGCAGGGGCACCATAATGGCTCCATTGCAAATGTGGGGAATTTGATTACCTAATTGCTAATGGATTATTATTCTGTGTATGCCTTGTTTGGAATATATGAAAGTTAATAGCATCTTTATTCATGTTATTACATATAATGGGTGTTCAACAGTGTTTTAGGTCCAATTTGAAGTCAAAATATGTCTCTTTAACATACAATTCCCTAAATAAGTTAATAGTCTATAAACACAACAAAAATCATACCGGTTCAAAAGGTAATATATCATTGGCTTGCTAAGCAATGCCTCTCTCTCCCTTGATGCTTCCTCAGATGTACTTGCTTCCAAACTCCATATCTCTTGTAGGGCAGACAAACAATTTGCAACTACCTGATAAAGAAATTAAAAGAAAATGTACTAATTAATACAGTTTATGATCATTTACCGAAATCACCTCTACATGTAAAAGATAGGACTAAAGGGAAAAAGATATAAGTAAGCTTGTCTATCTAATGGAAGAATCAACACAAACTAGTCTATTAACACTGACAAGATATTTATATTATGAAGAGGAAATACGGAGCGAAAAACAAAAAGGAAGCTATTAAAGCTATTAAGAAAGAATGAAATTTAGAGATGGAAAAATAAAATTGGAGAATACATGTTTTAACTGAAGAATTTGAAAGAAAAAGTGTTTAAAAAAATTCTATACAAAAGATCAAAGTATTAGTACTTATCCAGAGGTGCAACAAATGAATAGTACAACTGTAAATAATTGTATCGTTGCGTGTGTGCGAATGAAAAACTAAAAAGCTGTTGCAAATTTTCTTTTAACAATTTGATAAGGAAAATGTCTCCATCGCTAAAATGGAGGCAAAAGCTCCATTTAATACTAAAAGGCATTACAAACTATTGGAAACGTCAACAACCCACGATATATTTATTGCAAGGAAGACCATATGGAGGTAATTAAGGAGTGGAGCATGTGTCAATGTTATGGACAATCTTAAAATCCTAATTTCTATAATTTAGCCTAGTAAAAGAATTAACTTATTGACTAAATCAACAAGCTTACAAATAGGGATGGTAAATTACCCTACCCGCACCTGTTGGGACATATTTGGGATGGTTTATTCGGGAACAAAGCGGGGACATGGCAAGGGAGTAAAAACCTGCGCTGGTGCGGGGAGGGGACGGGGACATGTACCCATGCCCCGTTTATATCACATAAGTACTTAAATACCCCTATATATTACTAAGATACTAAAATAATCTTGCATAAACTAAAACACCAAAACTCTAATATCTTATCTCTCTACCATTTCATCAAACTAATACCCTTTATATTGTTTAGAAAGAAAAAGAAAAAGAAAAAAAAAAATACTGTTAAAACAGGGAGAGGGTATCAAACGGTTTTTTTTTTTCCTGAATGTAGGGTATCAAACGGTTTACAACACTAAAAGGGCTTCTTGTTCGCTATTGCCGAGACCAAGCATCCGGCATTCAAAAACAACAAAAGCTTGAATTTCATGGTGCATCACTACTCCCACTTCATACATTCACAACAGTTCAAAATCATTATGAATTCAAAACAGAACAGTTCACAGTTAATGTTTGCATAATCGTAAATTTCCAAATTTAAACAGCAACGTCCAATAGTCAAAATTGTTGTGTATAATGTATGCCTCTGAAAGAGAAAATGCCTATTCATATTTTATAAGGAAATGCAAGAAAAGTAATTATTCAAGGGTCTAAGATGAACTCAGTTCATTCCAAAATTTTATAATATAGTTTCCTTTTAAATGCTGCTAAACTGAAACCAAACAGAAAACAATTGTCTAGAGTAAGCCCACCTGAGTCTCTGGATCGTTAAGCATCAAATGTTTAAGCATTGCCGGAAAATCTGCATCAACACAAGTTGCAGACGATATATGATACAACTTCAAAACCCCAATGACAGCCACCGTCCTCACATAACTGCTCCCATCTTTCAACCCCAATCCCAGCGGCCCCACCAAGTACTCCACCAAATTCGCCACTCGCAATGAACACAAACTTCTCAAAGCAAGCCCCCGGATCATTGGATCCTCGTCCTTACAATCCCTCTGAAGAAAATTTATTGTTAGAAGCGCCAGATCTGGATTGCCTTTTGCGTAATTCCCAACATACAAATAACACATTTTCTTGAGAACAATATCTGATGTAGCAGAGCACATCACCATCTCGCTGAAGAGCGATGACACGTCAATGCCAATTGTCATGTATGAGATTACTTTCTTGAAGAGCTCTCTCTTCGAGTCATCACTCCCCGGCGCTCGGCTTCCAGCGAGCTGCCGGAGCTGAATTTTCAGATCCGAGACCTCTCCTTTACTGGTAAAATCAGTCTTAGGGTTAGGATTCTGATAAACATCTGTCTGTAAACTAGTATGTCTTTGTATTTTAGAGAGAGAGAAAGAAAAACCAATTTTCTGTGCCATTAACAAGTTTCAATGCCTTTCATAGATATACATACATGGATATAGACATATACACACAGAATTTTGATTCCTTCAACAATTCTAGAAATTGAAGATGATCACTGAAGTACAATTTGAGATTTAAAGTATTATAAACGTACGTGTATGAATGTATCTGACGATTATGAAGAATATTCAACTGGCAATATTTATATAAAACACACACAAATATAAGATATACCTATAGTACATGTATGTATATATTGTAATGTAATTAATTAAGGTATGCCAAAGAGTCTGCTTCGAGTTCTCCGTCGTCTAGAGAGATAAAGTAGAGAGAGAAAGAGATGAGTTACCCGGACGGCTGAGAAGGTGAGGGAGATCGCTGAGATTGAGCTGGAGGAGCCATGGGAGGCAAAAATTCAAGCTTGAGAGAGAAATTTACAGAAATTTTTGATTGATTGATAAATCTTTATTCAGTTGAATCAATTATCGATCTGTGTGTACAGATCGTTCGGAGAGAGAGAGAAGCATTCGAGTGCAACGACGAATTTGAGAAAATTGTAGTTTCACAGAGAGTGACAATATAACCCTCGCCGAGGACAAATAGGTATCAGATTTTCTAACTTGCGCCGTGGACAAATAGGTATCAGATTTTCTAACTTGCGCCGTGGTGTGCTAATAACAATTGTCACCCATGTTTTTTCTTCTCAATTTCTTTTCTTTTTAGAAAAATATCATCATCTATAAAATAAGACTTTTTTTATTGATTTTACTTGATTGATAGAATTTAAAATAAATATTAAATTAAAATTGACAACCAAACAAATATCAGGCAAAATGTTTAAGTTCCTGGTAGGAATATCATTATATATATTGAATTTAAAATTTTCATACTTTTAAAAAGCATTTGTTTGGTAGAAAGAGACCAGGGTTAAAAAATTTAATTATTTTAAATTCTACTATACATATACAATCCTCTCAATTATTTTTGCATTGTTAAATAGAAATGAAAAAGTTGTAAAGTTAGACTCAGCAAGTTATTTGAAAATTTGTTTCGTGGGCTTGATAGAGTTGGTAAGATAATGGTCTGGGTGTCATATTCTCATATTCTCGTTTATTCTCATTATATTCTTTAATACCTAGGTGAATTCCTGGTGCCAATAAAAAAAATAAATAAATAAAAATTTATTTGAAAATTTATTAATGCTATGTTCCGCGAAATCGCAAAAAATCTTAGCCACCAATTTTAATATCAAATTTTTAATTTTACGTAGCAGGACAAAATCTAAGAGATCATTACATTTTATTTTAATTTTACTTTTTCCTATTCTGTTCCTCAAACTTTATTTTATTTATTTATTTGTTTTCATTCATTAGCTTCTTCCTTGTGGAGGGAGTGAGATTGTTGTTGAAACCAATTCTTCAAATATGAAACGGAGAAAATAAAAAAGATGACAAGTTTTAAAATGAGATTTTATTTTTGTATCTAGATCAAATTAGAACTAGGAACATGTGAATAGAATTAGATTAATCAGACAATAACTAGCCATATAACTTGTAATAATTTCTGAATCACCACCATGAAATTTTGTTATCAATTGTTACAATGCATTGTTCAGGACTAAAGAAGAGCTGACCGATGCTACTAACGTGTATCATAGTTTGAAACATGAATTTTAGTTAAATTTATGTACTTGTTCATCTATTCAAAAATTTAAGTTGTTAGATGTTATTGCATACTTATCTATTTATACACTTCAACTCCCATCCAAATGGGTCGATCCCACTTATAACAACGTATTGATGTTACAAAAACTTTTTAACATTTCAAGAGAAGTTAGTGCAATTTTGCCAAAAACTTACATCAACTACATCTTTCACTAGAGTTTTTGAATATATAACAGATAAATTATCATATATAGTTTTGACCTTTATTTTTTAGTTAATGGCATTTACCATTTTTTTCTACAAAGCACGACCAAATAAAACAACACTACGCAAAGGCATAGGACAAACACCAAACAAAGCCACCATAATATAAGATATGGGCACAAAGACCCTGCAACCATAAAAGCATTCCACGTCCCAACCCAAACTAAGACTCATAATGTAATACCTCTAATTTCAAAAGGATAATTCTGATATTTAATTTATTATTTTAAATTGCATTTGATTATTTTCCTTGGTTTGATTTAATTGATTTAATGGATTTATTACTTATTTTAATTTAATTGATTTAATGGATTTGTTATTTGTTTTAAATTAATTGACTTAATTGTTGTAATTGAATTTAATTGTTTAATGGTTTTAATTTAATTGTAAATTTAATGGTTTTAATTTAGTTGTTTAAAGTGAATTGTTTTAATTACAGTTAATTAGGTTTTCAACGTGACTGTATGGAAGGTGGCACATAGAGTTATATTAGGTTTTCAGTTCAGCCGACGCTGGAATTTAACCTAGGTTGTTCTATGGGCCGAGTTGTACATGGATTAGGGTTAGTGTTAATATACATCGGTAAATATAAAGCAATACACGGTTGAGGGTTTTTAGAAAAATAAACGTAAATTCTGTAAAAACAGAGATCGTGAGATACAGAAGGAAGACCGTGAGAGATAGGAGAGGAAGGCTAGGTGGGATCAAGGAGGAAGGAACATGGTTTTGTGGAACTATAGTCTATGATATTAACAGAACCTTCAGATACGGTGAATTAGAATTTCAAATCTGAAACTCAAAGCCAAGTCTCTGATTCTTCTCTTTCCCGTTAATTCGTGTTCTGTGCATGCCTAGTTAGACTCCAGGGATTCAATAAAGACTAAAACTGGTTTAAACAAATGTTATAACAAGTCTTTTATGCATATATTAATTTTATTTGATCTCGTAAAATTAACTGGTGTGCATGAATCTATGATATTCTGTTTTTGTTTCTCTTGTTGTTCAGGTTTAAGTTTTGTTTAATGGAGGTTTGTAATGTGTATGGATTGCCTTGTAATTGATCTGGGTATAAGATTAAATCCTAGAACAGGTATTTAAAACAGTATTTAAAATTCATGGAATAAATCTGATTTGAATTGCTTTAAACTACTAACTGAATTTCTAAAATCGTTGCTTTAAAACTTGTGTTCCATACATGTTCTGATTGGTTGTTAGTGGTTTAAAATTTATCTAGGACTAAGATTGAACCTAGAATGATAATTAAAACACAATACGGAGGCTTTGTTAATCACTGGAATCGAAGAAAACAAAGAGAAAACGGACAACGGCTGCTAAGGGAGGGAGAGCAGGCTCCCAAAACCCTTAGAGCCGGCTCCCAAAGAGTTGGAGCCGCCTCTAAGTGGTTTAGAGCAGGCTTTAAGTGGTTTTGAGAGCCTGCTCTCTCCTTATACGTTACAGAATTGATTTTTAGAGGCTGTTTGGGCTATACTGGGTGTATGCACTTCGTTTAAATTGTTTTAAGTGATGTGTATAAGATTGGTATTATGATGGAAAAATATAAAATCATAATTGGATTGAAGAATAGTGCAAAAAAAACCTAAGAGAAAACTGGTAGCTTGCACACTGTTTTGTTAGTTTTACTTACTGGAACTTGGCACGGTTTTTATATATAATCTAATTATATATAATCATATATTTTTCCAGTGTTATAGGTATGGTGAATTAATTAAAATCAACTATACTTAGTATGGATTTAATTGGTACTTCAATTGTATTAAATTGTATTAATTCATGGATCTTGTTGGAGGATGTAAATGGTTGCATATGTTATAGCAGTTTACAACATTGGATATGATTTTAGGCCCTATATTGAATGCCTAATATTTATGTATATGGATTAATTTATCTCGTGCATATTTTGGAGTACGGTTGATGACTATTTAATACTGTATTGTTAACTATGTTAACCAGAGGATGGTATGTACAGGTATGGACTAGTTCAAACACTAAGTTCTACCTAACTTGGATTAAGGTATGGATTAATTATATAGGTTAAGTCCATCACCTACTTATGTCATGTCAATAAAATAATTGAATGACTTACTGTGGTTTCAGGATGGAGTTGTTATACATGTATCAGACTATTATACAGATGGATGATATTTTGTATTAGGAGTACGGACTTTATATATTTATTATATGGTGTCATGGTATGAGCTTGAGTCTCAGTACCATGGTTAGGACGCGTATATCGCCTAGGATGGATAGCTGGACAATAATTGCTATTCCCTGGTAGGTCTAGGTACATATGACCACGTAATGTGCAATTTGCATGGTATCTCTACTTAGGCTGAGACAGACCTATTGGACTAGTGAGCGTTCTATAGTGTGTAATATATATATATAGGGACTACTCTAGATATTGTTGAGTCTATCTAGGATGTATCTGGGTATCAGATTTTTGTTTGGATTGTAGTAGATCAGGACTTGCATGTGGGTCTGACTCACTCTTATATTTTTCAGGTGCTCGTTAGTTCCAGGGTTATAGCTTGATCGTGAAGAGCAGATACAGGCTTCTATTCCATCGACTATGTAGGATTGTTTACTTATTAGCTTTGGATCTTATTTCTGTTATTTCATTTACAGTTGGGATTTTTATTAGGGGTCCACTAGATGGATTCCCGAGTTGTTAAATGATTGGAGGTTTTAGAGTTTGGATTTTAAAATTTCTATTTTGGGGATTTGTCATTAGAATTCAATTCAGCTATTTTTATTTATTTCTTATTCTTTAAATTTTGTATTATGTGTTCGCATTAAATATTCATTGTCTGATATTCCCTCGGGTTTGGGCCTGGGCCTGATCAACCCATGTCTCTGATCTGAGGGGTATCACACATAGTTAATTGGTCATTTTTAATTGTAGGCCACAAATATGAGCTTAAAGTTGGACTAAACTTAACATCAACCCTAGTTGATATACCCACCATTTCAATCAAGTACCTGACATTATATTTAAAACTACCGAGAACAGATAGTAGTAGAAAACCCATGCACCGAATGTTTTCCAGCCTGACAAATCTTTCTGGCGACACCCAGCCACGACCCATAGTCAATGGCGGTCGGAGGAGAAGTAGCGTTGATCGGAGCAAGAAAAGGAAGCATCAAACCTGCTACAAGAATTCGTCTAACTCGCAAAAGCCTGAAACGCAGTGCTTGTGGACGTGAGAGAAACACTGGCACGCAAGACAAAGAAAATGAAGCCTTACAAGAAACAAAAAAATCCATTCCCTATATGCCATGGCCACAAACGAAAACTCGGCGCTTACAAGCAACTGATCAGAAAAAGTTAGAACTAAAATAGAAGCCATTAAAACCCAACCCAATACCTGGATCAAAAGGAAATAACAGTGAAAATTGGCCAGTAAGCCATCCACCATTCAATATGCTCGATCTAACAACCCATAGGACCCAAAAGTCCATTTGATCCAATCGCCCACATGAACGTTTTCCTAGATTGAGTAGGGAATCCATCCAGAGAGGATGCAAATGGGCGTGAACAGTGTCACTAGAGAGAGACACTCGTTTTTAGTTAGGGCCCGTTTACTAACGCTTTCACTTTCTTACTTTTGCTTTCTTCAAAAATAAAATCATAATTTT